ATACCACACGTGAACTACATACCTACCTTACCTCTCAGCAAAAAGACTCGTCCTGCCTACGTCACGCGCATGCAGAGTGACGCGAAGAACGGATCCTTGTATTAGCTCGCGGTCTAAAGTAAGTGTTGTCAGGATGTTTTCGAAACAAGAACAACGATGTTGAATAAAAATTGAATGTGCCAGAGGTCGTACAGCACGACAGTGTCATCAAGGGCTTCAAGAGGCTTGCAGGGAATCTGCATTGCCTTACACAACCGTAGCAAGATGGGTGAAAGCATTCAATGAATGACGCCAAAACATGGCAGACATGCTACGGCCAGGTCGTCCGAGTGTCAGCGATGTAGACGTGCAAGCTGTTGCCGCACTAATGAACAGTGACCGCCGCCAAACGATTCATCAGCTGGCTGGACAAACAGGATTAGCACAGACGACTGTGCTGCACATTCTGAAGGAATGCCTGTCCATGAGAAAAACTGCTTCCCAATGGATTCCACATCAATTGACGGAAATGCAGAAATGGCTACGATACGATGCTGCCCGAACACACTTGGAGCGCTATGAGCGCGAAGGAGATGCTTTTTTATGCCGTATCATTACGCTGGATGAGACTTGGGCCCGATCGTACCAGCCCAAACCCAAAACTGAAACGCTAATCAAACGAATGGCGTCATCACGGGTCACCACGACTTTCGAAATTTCGTCAGAACCCCAGCAATGCGAAAGTTATGGTGATTCTCGTGTACGACTGTAATGGTGTCATCCTAACGCATACCGTTCCCCCACAGCAGACCGTCACTGTGCAGTATTACTGCTCATTTTTGGAGCACAATCTCCGACCAGCTTTGAGAAAAAAACGGCGACACTTTCTGCAGAGCTCTCCTCTCATTTTGCACGACAATGCTCGGCCGCATGCAGCGCAAGCTGTGACTGATTTGTTCAAGCGATGGGGCTGGGAAGTGCTTTACCATCCACCATACTCCCCAGATCTAAGCCTTGTGACTGTGACTTAATTCCTAAGATGAAGGAACCACTTCATGGCACTCGCTTCCAAACTATTCCTGAGATTCTTGCGGCAGTAGACCGGTCCATTCAAACTATCAACAAAACAGGCGCTGCTACAGGTATTCTGCGACTTCCACATCGTTGGAAACGGGTACACAATGCTGGCGACTATATTGAAGGACTGTAAAACATGGTGACATGAATCACTTTTGCATTCCTTGTAAATAAATAGTTGCCACTATTTAAGTTCCAACCCTCGTATTTTCCCCATGTTATGAAGGGTAAGAAATTCATAAGCATTGTTAAATTATATCCGTGGATTGTTTTTCCCCTAATTTATTTAATGCATCTATAATACATCTTTAAGAAAACTGTCCTCCACCATATGATGAAACTGTTTAAAAATTGAAAAACTAATTCTGTATGGACAATCGTATATCTGAAGTCTTTAACATTAAAGAATGAGTGCACTTTACAGAACAGGCAAAATCAATCATCTCTAGATACTATTTTATAATTTGTAAGCTTTTAAAAGTAATGTTGCTAGTAAATATGTTAAAAAATATTCAGGAGAGACTTCTATTTTAGGGATAACGTTGGCTTGGATTTAGACAATGCACTTTAAAATCTCGTACTAATTTACAGCCATTGATGTGGGAAATTAAAATTACCAAGAGATTAATCTTGTCAATAGTACAAGACATTTTCAATCCTACTGGCTTGTTAACTCAACAACATTGCTTCCAAAGCTACAGTTAAAGATTTACAGAAGTCAAAACATCACTTGGGACTGTAAATTACCACCAGATGTTATAAATAAATTCTTAAAATTGCATAAGGATGTGCACAAACTACAGCTAGAAAATGATTAATTTTCATGAACAAGTCACAGAAATTCATCCTTTAGCAAATCCTCAAGCACAAGAAATATGCTCCCAAAAGTAAGAATATTGTTAATTTATTGTCATATGGCTGTTCTGCTTGGGACATGATTATCTAGGTGATCAGAGGGGCCTTTGTGACTAAAGGAAAATCCTAAATGCTGGCCAGTTAGCAAAATTGATAGTCAGCCTAAAGAAGTAGATGTAGAAAGAAAGAAAAAAAGATTAAAATAATGACTATTGATTCGGCAAGAGATGCACCTCTTAGGTATCTAAACAAAATATCAAATTATGATAAATTAAGAGTGCTTACTTGGATACTGAGATTTCTAAATAATTGTCAGCAAACTCATGTCAAGTGTAAAAACACTGAACTTTCTTTTAAAATTGAAAAATTCTGAAAAGTATTTGATTCGTTTAGATCATAATATGTTTTAATTTTGTTACATTCAAAGATAATAATCTTTTAAGAATAAGAACTAAAAAAAGTCATTGAGAAGATGATTCCTGTATGAGATTCCTGTATTCAATATTGTTACTAAAAAATGGGAATTTACGAGATTATTGATCAAATTTGTACATATGATGAATAGTCAAACTGGAATCCAATTTATGCAAACATTATTATAAGATAGATTTTGAAGAGTAAGAGCTAGGGAAAAAAATCAAAAATGTTTTATACAACTGCATGATAAGTAAGCATTTTAAGTTAATCCTACATCAAGCAAACATATTAGATAGAGTCAAAAATAATAAGGATATTAAACCCAAAACTATGGTGTTTAGAAAAATGGAGACGGACCAGAAATGTAGTTGCTGGAGTGTGAAGAAAAGGATTCATGTGTCTTTTTTCACGCACTAGGTGGTGGTAGTGTGATGCAAGACAGGGGCGCAGCTAGAGGGGGGCAAGGCGGGCATCTGTCCTCGGGCGCAGAATCCAAGGGGCGCCAAACTGATGTTAGGAAATTTTAGAATTAAATGTTTTCCATCCTTGGCAAGCAGTAAGGGGCGCGAAATTTTCAGATGTTCCTGGGCGCTGAAAACCCTAGCTATGAGACTCTGATGCAAGAAATGATTAATGAGCCAAGTCCATTTATTCTGTTTCTAAAAGCAATGCATAATGGAGGCATCCAAAAATGAGTAGTGGGGTGTTATGCACATTTTGACAATCCATCACTGAACAGAAAGAATTTATAGACAGCACTGTTTGTCCCTGTCCAATAGCTAAAATATAATTTAGGTAAATGTATATTGAATCAGAAAAAAACTAAGATACATGAATTGCGATCTGTAACTGTGAATAAATCATTAATTCACAAGACATAAAATAAGACATAAACATATGTGTCAGAAAATTCACACAAATTGATTCCTCTTACACCTGCTATGTTTCTTACCAAAAACAACTGTTTCAGTGTTAGATGTATTGAGGAATTAGACTTCCAAAAATTGAACACAAAATTAAAATACTGAAGAAAACATTTTAACGATTTAAGAAAATCTTTTAAAAAAGGATATCTTATTCAAAAATACTTTGAAAAACTGATACGCCAACCAAAAATTGGTGAAACAGTTTTATTTCATAATGACAATATAAAACATCTATTTTGGCCTAGAGCTAAGATTACTGAACAGATTTCAGATCAAGATAGAAACACTCATACACACTGTCAGGTTTAAAACTCAACATGGAATAGCCCTACAATTAATCGGTTCAGGAAGTCTTCCTCTTACAGATACAAGCTATTGGAATGATGTTAAAACTGAAAATGAGAAAATGAGAGAAGAGAATTTAACTCTCAGAAAGCTTCTGGAGTTAAAACTATTTTGTTTTGATGATGTAACAATAAAAAATTAAATGCATTAAATTAAATACATTAAAATAAAAAAGTGCATTAAATAAAAAAATGATGCAAAAGAATTATTCTCATCTTCTGGCATACTTCTAATTATATTCTTCAACATAATAAAGTACAAATGAATTTAAATACCAGCTAAATAATAGCAACATTTTTTCCCCGTTTATGCTGCTTTTAATCCCCAATGCATAAGACTTTTAGTTTTAGCATTTGAATCCAATAGCCTCTTAAAGCCAATTGCTATATATATATGTATATAAATACAGAATTTCTTTATATAACTGTAGCACAGAAAAACAGTGAGTAAAATGTAAGAATATTTTTTTTTCTAATTTAATTTCCTGTAGCAACTTACAACCTGCCTATCATAAGACTTACTCTTGCCAGTCTATCTTGCCAGGAAGTGGTGACTATAAAGCAGGCTTCATAAATTTTAAACAGAGATAATTCAAATAATAATAATAATAATAATAATAATAATAATTAAAAAAAATTTTTTTTTAACTTTAGGTATTATTAAAACCACCTCAGTAGAAGATGCCAAACTGGCAACTATGCATATAGTTAAAATGTTATGACAACCATGCACATAACACATTCCTTAGGTAACTGTATTCATTGTAAGTTGTAAAAAATTGCCAAGGTGGTTGCATCAATTTAACAAGTACTTTTTTTGTTATTTTGGTGAATACTCTAGAAGAAAACAATGTTATAACAAGTGTTTTACTTACAACAAAAAGCAAATAACCTGTACTGTCAATTCACCACTAAGTACGTTATGAGGGCAAACTTAAATGCATTTTTTTAATATATCCTAAAGAGAAATTGGTTAAAGCTAATTTTTACAGCAATAGACATTATATCCGGAGGTGTTCTTGCACCAGACTTTTATTGTTTACCACAATTTATTCTGCTTTTGATTACACATAATGAGGAGAGACAACTGAATGAAAAATATCAGAACAAATATAAGAATAAAAATTACATACACTGTATTAAGATTTCTATAGTCTATATTAAAAAGGTTACAATGAAGCTTCAATAGAAATCATTGATTTTGTTTAATAGTGAATATCAGATATACTATAATAATGCTACATATCATAAAAATTAGTTTTGAAATAGATTATAAACAATTAATTTACTCTTATACCTTTTATTATATATAAATTGTACTATAAATATTTTGTACTATAAATATAACATTTAAACAAAAGAAAACAACAACAAAAAAATTAATTTACAGAATAGAATTTACTTGATCTGGTGATAAAGAGGTATCAGCAGATGCATTTCTTTCTTGATTAACTGCAGATCGCTCATTTTTACAAGCCTGATGATAATCTGCTTTACATTTATTAACACGAGCTAAAAGCTTTGCCCATGGTTTTTGTGCCTGAAATGATTAAATTGGGGATTTAATATTTGAAAGAAAATATCCTTATTATGATGTAATAATAAATATTTAAAATATGAATCTTTAAAATCTATTTTAACGATCAACAAATATTAACATGCAATACTTAAGGAAAATCATTATAATAAAATGGAAAATTGTCAACTGAAGTAAACAAAAGTACTTCTGAGTGACTTCCGAGTAACATTTTGAAGTAACATTCATCAAAGTATCGTCCTTACTACACTGAAAAAATACACTGTTTTAAAGTTGAAAAATGTACATATGCATTTAGTTCCTTAATACGTAATCCTCAGAGCAAGCAGCAAGGCAATTTTTATATGCATGAGATTTATTGCCAGTTGATACAAAACATTATCCTGTTATTTAAAATATTTTGTTTTCTTATTTCATTTAATAACATTTAATAATCTGAATATCATTCCAATGAAACATTACAGTGGTTTCGAAATTAAACGTAGAATAAATAATTATAAAATTTATCTAAAAAGTGCTATGAAAAGCCATGCCATTTAGAGGATTAAGGAGCATCAACATTTCATACAGCTATATAACTGTATATAACTGCTCTCAGAGTTTATTCTTTTATACTATGCAGCATTTTGAAAGCGAAATGGTAATTAATTAATTGGCATTTCCTCCCATGTGTTCTTGTGACTAATACATCAGGCCAGAGGCTGGTACTAGACTTTTTGAAAGCCGGTGCAAATGCCGTGAATTTAAAACTCTGCTGCCTGATTTTTCCTATATTCTAACAATTTTGCCATCCCTAAGTTATGCTTCCTGGTGCAGCTGCAACTTGCATCAAGTAGTGTATTGGAAATTCTGAAGTTCAGTTCCAAGTGAGGATAAAACTGATTTTGCATATTTTCCACTCCATAACACCTAATCATTCTTTCCCTAATCTAACAAAGCTTTTGACACCCAAATTATAATGTGGTAAATGATCATACTGATTTGGCCTTACAAGGCTTCATCTCCTCTTTAAGACTTCATCTTCTCAGTGTATATGTGCATGGGAGAAAATAGAGGCAATAGCATTCCTCCTACACATGTTAAATACATTCCTACCAGGAGTCCTTGTAATTTAGTGTCCAACAAATCCAGCTAGTAGCCAGAGGGACTTGGATTTGATCCCCAGCAAAAAGATGATTGATTGTTTTAAAGTTTCTTGACACCCGCTCCCCACCTCCAAAGGAAAAAACAATATGGCTTCCCAAAGTATTCAAATTAAGCACAGTGAACCCTCTCCAAATGACTGCATCTGAAAGTGACCAATATTTCTTAGAACAAAAATAAACATTAACTCTTTATGATGCCCATTTCTATAGAAGACCAAGTTCATTTTGAAACTTTGGTGACTATCAAAAGAGAGTCTGTATTTTTTTCAAAACTTTACTGTTAAAAGACCTCTAGTGACATTTATTTTATCTCATTAAAATTTGCTCATTCATCTCATCACATATTTTCAGCCTACAGTGAAGATTATTTTCGGTGCCTTAAAAGCAGGGATCCTACATCTAACTCCCTTGAAATGCAAATAGATTTTTTATAAAACAAAAAATTAGTCTAAAGTTGAACCTTGCCTAATATTGAATTAATGCATGTTTTTAATATTTCCCACTATCAGTCACTTAGCAAAATTCTTAAAAAAGACACATACATTATGATGGTAAGCTTTCATAAATCTTATTTCAATAATCAAAAGACATGGAAAGATTATTTTGTTAATAATAATAATCAAAGCCATGATTCTAACAGAAAATATTGTTTAAAAAACTTTAAAAAATAATAATATACTTCTACTCAGATATAAAGATTTCTTTAGTGACTACTGTATCATGTTGTGACACTAACTTAAACATTTGACATATGAAGAGAAATTTACAGAAGTTCAGAACTAAGTACAAATTGCACAATTTTATATGTGTATGTACACAAATTTATATAAGTAAAGAAAAATGAGAAGAAAAACTTTAAAATTAGTGAATTTAAAAATTTATTTCATGCACTATTGCTGGAAAGATATTATTTAATTCAATAAAATAATAAGAGAATAAAAAGGAAATTATCTCCTAGGAAATTTGAAGAGAAACTTAAAAAGCATCTGCGCACTACTTTGTTAAACACACACAGTCTATGTGGCCAAAATATTAATGACACCTTTTGAGCCTAAAAGGGCACTGGGATTTGGCAGCATATCAGTTTCAATGTCTGAATCACTTTTCAAACTGTTGCCACAACATCACCCTGTATTACTTTTAAAGAAATTAAATAATGAAAAATCTGCATGAATGTATATGTGTTTCTAGCACTGCGAAGAAACGATGGTACCTAGGACCATCAAATTTTGAATAACATAGTCCTCTACCCAAACATATGCACTTGGAAATCTGAATTTTGAATTTTATATTTCATATTTTGTAAAACGTTAATGAATTTTTAAAAAACTCAACAATTTGATGCAAGGATTAAAACATTGTTATTTCCAGTGCACAAGACTGTATATCAGAAATTCTAAAAATATGCTGCTTTTAAATATTTTGTGATTTTGCTACTCAACTGAATTTTATGTGGCATAAGTGCGAAGAGCATGATAGTTAATTAGTAAATTTAATACACACAATATTAATAATAAAAAGACAAAAAAAAAAAAAAAAAAAAAAAAAGTTTTGCAAACCATTTTTCTACAAACACTGTACATTGATAAACTAAGAAAAGACTGAAAAAAATAGAAAAATATATACCAACACGTAACACTTCAGGAATTCTTTATGCTACAGCTAAAATTTTTGTAACTTTGCTGTTGAAAAGGGTGATCTTTTTTAAAGTGACAATGTTTGGAGCACCCCGTAGTGCGATCTAATAGCCTAAATAGCAGCAAACTTGGTATTTACACTAATCAAGACATGGGAAAAAGGATTCCGTGGGAAACATTTTTAGTTCCAAAAATCGCCGCTAGGGCATTTTGTGGCGCTACTGTAGCTTTCAATAACAAGAATTAGCATGAAACACAGGTATCAAAGAAAAATGCAAATGTGCGATGACAGCGCCAGTAATTGGGGCTCTAAAAGCAAGTAGTAGACAGCTCCGAGAAATAATCTCAGCTGAAGTAAATGAGCTCCAGTGGACATGCCTCTCACGTTACCGGAACCTGCGTTACTGGTGAAGCTGTATTACACAAATCAATGTAATGCATCTGCAGCTCTTCGGGAATTTCGAACCAGAAAAAAATTACTTAAGGGACCTTTATCTCTAAACGGTCTTAAGAAAATGATTAAGAAGTTCGAGGAAACGGGGTTACTGACCATTCGCGCTGGGAGAGGACGTAAACCAGTATCAGAAGATGTAATAACTGATGTTTCAAATTCAATTGTCGAAGGATCGCAGGGAACCATTGCTGGTACTAGCAGCATCCGGGGTGTAGCTCGACAAATGGACATGAATTATTCCACGGTATGGAGAGTTTTGCGGCGCGTTATTGCATTTTACCCCTACAAAATCAGCCGCTTGCACGAACTAAACCAAGTGATTATTATAAGCGAGTGACATTCACTCTATCGTTTCTTGCCAGGGTAGAAATTGATAATGCTTTCCCATGGCACATTCTGTGGGGAGATGAGTGCCATTTTTATTTCAATGGGTTCTTAAACACACAAAATAGCCAAATTTGCGTGCACGAAATCCCATTAAATTCCCCAAAAGTCACTGCTTGGTGTGGTTTCACAGCCGAATTCATAATTGGGCCATTCTTTTTTGAGACCATCACTCTGACAAGACCCCCAACGTGCACCATAAATGCAGAGAGGTACCACAAAATGCTGCAACGTTTGTTATTCCATAACTTCAGCAGAGAAACCGTCTCCAACAAACAATCTTTATGCAGGATGGTGCTCCGCCACACACATTAGTAATGAAGTAAAGCAGCTGTTGCGCCAAAACTTCACTGATGATGGAGTCATACGTCGCAGTTTTCTAGCTGCATGGCCGCCTCGTTCCCTTGACCTCACGCCATGCGATTTTTGGCTCTGGGGTTATTTGAAATCTCAAGTTTTATGTTGGTGGAGTATCAAATTTGCCTATTCTAAAGAACAACATAACAAAGACAGTGTACAATATTCCTCGTGATATGTTACATACGGCTGTGGAGAACATTGTGCTCAGAATGCATGGTGTTATTTCTAAGAATGATGCTCACATTAAATGTGGTCTAATTCCTCATCGGGGAAGTTAATGCAGTAAATAAACATTAATAATTTAACTGTATGATTGTATGTCTTGATTAGTCTAAATACCAAGCTTGGTGCCATTTTGGCTATTAGATCACGCTACAGGGCGCTCCAAACACTGTCACTTTAAAAAAGATCACCATGTACATGGCATAACTGTTAAGAAATTGATGCTTCATAATAAAACCAAAAAGACAAAAAGAAATGGGCTAAGAGTGAACACAACAGCATTCTGATAGACTGTGAGCTCAGCGAAGGCACAGAAAAACCTTAAGAAGCTCTTTTGGGTGACCATTAAAATCTTAAACCTCTCACATTTTTAAAAATTTATAACTGTTGTTCATTTTTTTAATCATGGACCAAGCTGCCAGTAACTTAAATGATGTAACAGTGAGGAATTGCTTACATAAAACACTTTTATCTTCAAAAAAAAAAAAAAAAAAATTAACACTAAGATTAGTGTGAAAATGGGTAAAATGAAAGATGTGAGCATCTTTGAATAAGCATAAGTGTACAAAGATTTGCTTCCAACATCTCTGAAATGGCTAACTTTTCTCATGCAACAGTATCTTAGACATAAAGAACATAGCAGTTAGGAGGGGGCAAAAATTCAGGCAGTAAGAATAATTCTGGAGAACAAACAAAAGCAGTGCAAAATGGCTGATGCAGAAGTACCTGTAACAATAGACCACCACCAATGTGACAATGCAAAATACCACAGACTTTGCAATAGAAGATTTAACAGCAAGAGACCATCAAGAATGCCTGGCTATCATTGATTAACAGCAAATCATGGTTGCTGTGTGCTCAAATACATCAATATTGAACTCATGATGATCAGAAAAAAGTTGGTGACAAAGCTTGACACTAGTGAATATAAAATATTTTTCTGAAGGTATAATGGAGCCTTTGATATGCCTTTAAACAGGTTTTAGCACCACAATTTACCTAAACATCATTGCCGATTATGTACATTTATTCATGCTTCCTGATGAGGATGGTTGTTTTCAGCAGGACAACGTGCCTTGTCACTATGCCCAGTTAATCTCAAATTGATTTGAAGGGCATGATCAGAGTTCAAACTAATTCCATGGCTAGATCATTCCCCTGATCTCAATCACATTCAGAATTTGTGATGCAAAGAGGAAAGATCACTTTAAAACCCGAAAAAAAAAATCATTACCCAATCTGAATGAAATTAGAACTGCTGTTATGTCAGAATGAGAATTCCTCAAAAACGATATCAGCATTTTGTAAAGTCCGTGCTCAGAAGCAATCAAACATCAGATGCAATCAAAGCTAAAGATGGATCAATATGCTATTTGGGGCTCTTTCTTAATTTTTGCCTCTCAGTGTATATATTGATTATGACTTTTTTTAAAGTAACACTACTAAAAGGCCTGAAGGACATAGCTGAAATTTATCAGAACGCTATTTAAAAACTTGCTTTTTTTTAATAAAACAATTTAAAAACTGTATTAGATTAAAATGATGAATTAAATCTTAAATTAAAGCAAATCCAATTTAATTGCTTAAAACAACTGAAGATTGTGTGATAAATTTAAACAGGGTAACATAAAATTTGCTTACCAACAAACTAAAATTATTTTGAATTCACAAAAAGAACATTACCTTTTTAAAATTATCATCCATTTCTTTTTTTTCTTTGATATGAATCATAGATTTGTGAAAATTATCTTTCTGCCACTGTTTAATTTGTGTTACAACATCATTTAATAGCTGGTCTTTTATACGTAGGTGCATATCACATCTTCTTTCAGCTTCTATTAGCACAGCTTTCCAAGCAGCTTCTGTCGTACCATATTCAGGACCTAATTTAAAAACTCATATGAAATACACTAAAATAATTTATAATAAATATCATAAGTCATTTTGATACTCTAAAATGAAATTTAGCATATCCAAATGAAAATTATGATGTTACACAGAAATACTTTTAGGAAGTAGTGAAAGTACAAGAATGCAGTGATAAGCAAAAATGTGAATTTAAAAAAAAGTGAATTTTCTGACTATTAAAAGACACTTCTTATGCATGTAAGAAGTAAATAAAAATAAAGTATGCTTGACAAGTTTAACAGAACAGCATGCATTTAAACACTTACCTTTTTCTATTATTTCGTTCCATTTCTTTGACCAATTTCTTAAACTCTTAGCATATGTTTTTTCAATTTCACTTCTTTCTTGAATTAAGAGTATAAGATCATTACATAATCGAAAACTGTCTTCTATCCTTTTAGTTGTGCGTTTGTAATTTCCAGGTTCCCAGAAACTGTCACTTCCAACTATAAGCATTGCATCATCACTGTGGTGTGACATTGTGTTTTGTTAACTGAAATAGAAAGGAAATATAAATGAACATGCACATCATTAAATGTAAGGAGTTTTCTTTAAATTCAATGATATAATTTATCTGAAAACAGAGTAATATTTTGTAATTTCGTTTCTAATCTTTAACACCTTTAAAGATAGTATATAATTAAAAAACTTGCTACTAATAATCTGCTGCTAAATGATGGTATCATCTGAAAGTTAATCTAAGTGTCAGTGCATGCTGATGTAAAAGTTTCCAAGCTTGTCTAGTTCTGATAAAGTTTTGGATAACTAGCCTGGTAATGAATGTGTTAAAAGTATTGATATTTTTTTTTTTAAATCAGAGGTCATCAAACAGGATCTACAAACAAATAATGAAACATAAGAATGAAATTTTTGAGATTTGAATTCTTTGCTCAGAATCAGATGATTCTATTAAACACTGCTTTTTTGTCCAACTCTACTGAACACTGCTATTTTGTTCAATTTACTGAACACTGCTATTTTGTCCTTGCTTTTCCAATACAGAGCCTCTTATATTGAATAACACTTCATACTCAGAAACTGAAATTGTTGTTTTGTGACTATGGTTGCTTTTATCACTATGGTTATGGCAGTTTCCCCTTCTTCATTTAAAGAGAACCTCTTTAAGCAGCTAACTTTTTAGTACTGAGAATGGCCAGAATAACCTGATACTAATTGTGAGCTATTGTGTGACATTGCTATGACTGTGACATTCTAGTGCTGTCCTATCAACATCAGATAGTGTCATGAATGCTACAGGAGCAGCATGAGGATGAGCATTATTCTGAAACAAAAAGTAATTCTATATATATATATATATATATATACTATATAAAGAGAAAAATAATTTATAATACACTTTCATGGAAACAAGAGATTAAATAATTCCTTTTCAAAATTCATCTACAATTTTATGTCATAAATACTAACAACATGGCTGCATGCACACATAATGAAATCAAATAATTGAGTTACACTGCCAAAAGTATAAGGCATTATCTTTATATATTTAGCAACCCCCCTCATACTCTTTTATTAGCTGCAATATGAAATTGTAGATGAATTTTGTAAAGATAATTTTAATCTCTTATTCCTATTAAATTATGTTACAAACTAATTTTTGTCCTTTCAGCTTATTAATGATTTTATAAGTTTTAAATAAAAATTTACTTCATTAAAACTTATTTTCATTTTTAAAATTTTCAATTCTATTTTAAAACACAGAAAATTATTAAACTCATTTTCATTAAAATGGGATTCAATTGCAAACCCTTCTTAGTTACCAAAACATATACTGAAGTCTCCTAAGACAGACAAACTAGTTATACATTAACCTGTTACATTTAAAACAAAGAGCTTCTCAGCTTGAATACCATTAGAGTTAATCTAAAAAATATAAAAATGTGGCTATACTTCAACTTCAAAAAACAATAAAAGAAAAAAATTAAAATTTCAAAATTTATTGCAAATTAAACTTATAAAAATAAAAAATAGATAATTTCATTATTAAAAAGAACCAGAATATCTATAAAAAAAAACTTGAAAATACACCACCATCAATTAAATTTCTTTCGGAAAACTATCAGAATTTAAAATAACAGATAAATCTGGTTTCACAGCTACAAACAGAAAAATCCAAATATAAATGAATTGCCCAAGACTGTTGATAAAATTCTTTAAACTAAAACAATTTATAAACTAGAAAATGATATAAATATGCAATGAAATATTAAAATTATATACTCACAATCAATATTGCAATAACTTTTATGAATATTTTTGTTTATTTGTTTATATTTCACTGTATACTAGTTCCTGTGTATTTTATAATCATAGCTACTTAATTCCTTTTTTGAAGTAATCATAATTTTGAAAAAAATTATGCTGGAATTTCAATACTAGTTCAATACACCAGAGAACCTGGTTATTTGATGAACTTGAATCACATAACAATACGCGAAGTCCTACAAAGTTATATTTAATGCCTGAGCATATGAAATAATTTCTTCCGAATTCGATGTTGGATGCTATTTAAATTGCGAGGAGGGGCGGGAAAATGACAGTCGCGGTTTAAGTTGATTCTTTTTTTTTTTTTTTTTTTTTTTTTCACTGTCTTTTCAATTTCAGAGATGTGTATTTCTGAGATTGCAGAATTTGTACTTAAGATCGATTACTTGTACCAACACGCTAAATATGTAACAAGATCAATATTATTTATTGAAATATGAAAATGTTCCACAACATGGCACTGTAGCAAAAGCCATTACAGTACAAAGTCCGTAATCCGGACGTCCATTATCCTGAATGATCTATAATCCGGACCTCAAAGCCACAAACTTTTGTATGCTTTACGCATACGCGTAATGCGTTTACGCATGCGCGTTTCCGATAGTGAAGAAAGTGACAGAGAAGTTAGTGAAAACGAAAAAATTTCGATTGACAAGTTAGTCGGTATTCTCGATACAACAATTACAGGACTTGAACAGTGAAACTTTGTAACTGAACAAGAAATTATGTCTGTTTATAGAATTAAAGAGAAAGTATTAGCACAAAAAACGAAGCAACTTAAACAACTTACATTGAAAGGAATGTTTAATAATGTAAACAAATAAATATTAAGCTTTTTTTTTTTTTTTTTGTAAATTTTGATACCCTTTAAATCATAATTGCTCTTTATTTCATAAATTACGGTTTCATATTTTAATTGTATAATTTCTGCATGCCATCTTACCAGATTTAAATTGATGATCTATAATCCGGAAAAAAACCTAATCCGGAAACGCCGAAGTCCCGACGAGTCTGGATTACGGACTTTGTATAGTACTTATTTAAGATATTGAATGTTTACCTACTGTTCATGCGTGTTTTATTTTCTGATATACAGTTGCACCATAACTTCGTAAATCACCAAATTTTTCACAGAAGTTGCGTTTCCTAAGGGTGAAATGAAAATGTGCTTCCAAGATTCGGAATAAATGTTTTTAATTTTTTGTTTAATCTGCAAGTGTTATTCTGTCACGATAAGTAAACCCTGAATAATAAAAATAAATAATAATCAATATAATATTACAAAAGTAAGTGCATAATATGCGTGCTCGCTAAAACTGGTAGCCCTCTAATGCTCCATCCATGAAGAATCCATTCCCGTTTTTACCTAAAGGGTGTGCTTTTGAAGATATAAGGGTTGAAAGTTTCGCCCTCTAGAAATTTCTAGAACAGTCCTGAACATTCGAGAGCATTCTACAACATTAGAACATCCCATATCATTGTGGAACATTCCAGAACACTCTCGAATGTTGTGGATATTGTGGACCATTTGAAGCCTTTTTTTGTATAAGTGGAGCTACCCATTGGTAGGGTTATAAAAAGCATGATCCATCGTGGGTTCGTACTTCAGTTTCTTATCAGTGAAGTATACAATGAGTGAATAAAAACAGTGAAGTGTGAGTGAATAAAAACAGTGACGTGTGAGTGAATAAAAACAGTGAAGTGTGAGTAATCAAAGTGATACAGTGGAAAATAAATAATGTAAAGTGTATTTCTTAATAAAAAGTTGATTTGATTTATATTTTATAGCATGCCAAACGTAAAAGAGAAAGAGATCTTGCCAATTCTGAAGCAAAATGGCGAAAACAAAAAGAACAGAGAAAAAACGAAACAGTCGAAGAGGGCGGAGCATATACGTTCCCAACGAAGGAGAATGAGCACCATGAGAAGTAGGGAAATAGAAGAACAACGAAATAAACGAATTGAAGAGTAAGAATTACAATATTGTAATAAAAGCCGCCCACGAACGAACGAAAGCCACCCATGAAAATGTCACCTTACGAGAAGCGCGGACGAAACCAAGAAAACAGTACAACCTAACACAAAAATGAAGTATTCCACTATTGATAAACACTTCCAGTTATCCCCAAGTTACCACCAGCAAATGAAATCAATGCATACTTAAAAAAATCACATCTCTGGCCACACAAACAAATACTGCGACTAATGAAAAAATATGACAGCTTTTTAAACTATCAAAAGACGAAACAACAGCATATTTTGCTCAAAAACTTTTACAAATAGGCGAAGGTACATATCCTAACGACCAGACGACCAGCCTAGTTAAACTCAATAGTGATTTCTGCAATATAGATTGAAAACGAACTCATCGACTAAATTTATCCAAACATTCGTCACACCTTATACCAATCCGGAGCGTCTATTTTAAAGGGCAGTTTTGCAACTAAATATTGTCGACGATATCATCTTTATTATAAAAAAGAAAATTCCCGGTGAAGAGAGGATACACAAATTGATTGATACGATGGTAACAGTTGAAAAAACTTAACTTCTCTACAGAATTTTAAAACTCTTTGCAAGTACACTGCCTTCGACTGAAAATTGGATATCCGATGATACCACTCAGAAATCTCAACTCACCCAAATTATGTAATGGAACAAAGATGGTCGTCAAACAGTTATCGAATAACATAATTGAACCTGAACTTACGATTGGAAAGCAGAAAGGACGCACAGTATTTATCCCCAGACTACTACTAATATCTACTGAAATGCCATTCTAATTTAAAAGACTGCAATTTCCAACCAAATTAGCCTATGGTTTTACAATTAACAAAGTGCAAGGACAAACTTTAAAACATTGCAGCATCAACCTCGAAGACTCCTTTTCTCACGGTCAGCTATACGTAGATTGCTCTTGATATCATCTTTGAAGATGCCTTCTTTAAAGCGATCGCCTCAAAACCAAAGCACGTATCTGATCCAATGTTATGTTTTACACATGCCATGTTGTCATCGCCTTTCTGACTGAAGTTTTTCACGGAGAAGGAAGTGCGCACTTCTTATTTTACTTCGAAGTGCATGTAGCTCTTCATTTTAAAATTCAATTGGCGTAACGGAAATCGAATCTCAAAACCATTCTAAAATTCGAAAGCATTTTATAAAATGAATTCAAATGTAGTTCACAAAAAATGGTATTGGTTGGTC